AGCATTTTAGGCATCTTTCCTAAAGCATACTAGTGCTCGTGTCAATTTAGGTGTACTGCCTAAAATATAAAATACTATGTCAACTCACAATCATCGCTTAGCATCCTAAGTTTAAGTCTAGAAATTTCCTACAAATTCCTAGTTCTCTTAAACTAATGCTCTAATACCAACTGTGACATCCCCAATTGCATGGCCAGAAAAGACCGATTTGTTTATGCATTGTTTTATAAAATTAGAGGAAATCTTTTAAAGAAAACGGTTGTGGAATTTGTTCCCAAAACAAAATATGATAACCATTTATCAAAACATTTCTCAAAGAGAATGTATTTTCATTAAATAATAAAAACCTCGAGATGTCATGTTCCGATACAGACCAAAAGCACAAACAATATAAAATAGACCTTACAACAGTTATTTATAACTACTGATCTATAATCCAAAACCTCTATTCAAGTCCACCAACTTATACTCTTGTGTCATTACCTGTAATGCAAAGAAAGTGAGTGGGTCAGGCTTGGGAGCTTGGTGAGCATATAGGGTTTTCAACCCACAATAAATAATTAATTTAATTTCATCAACCAATAATAACCCAATTACCCATTCCCGTTATTCTCACTTTACGTCCTTAAGAGAACTAACACAAGGGACCTAGTCTAAGAATATTTCATCGGGGCAACAACACATGCTTCGGGGGTTCCTCAGCAATATAAGTCAAATAAGGCAACCATGAGAGGGATGGAATACAACGAATGAACACCCAAGTTCATTAACACCTACATGTTATGAGCCTGATAGTGTTCCACGGGACTGTCTAGAAAGAGTCTGTGGTCGTCATCTAAATTCCGCTAGATGACTGGATCACAATGACATCGAGGCCTTTCAACATTTTTATTTCATCACACATCACTATCTACCCATGTTCTACCCACATATTTGCAGATAAAATATATTTGTTTATATATAGCATAAAACCTGTATAACAAATTCTTTCGACACTCATATCACATGAGAAATAGTATATATTGACATAGCACGTATTTTATAGAGTATAATCTATATATGTGTGTTAACAGAAAGCAACCACACACACTTACCTATTCCAAATAACGAGATAATATACATATAACACATATCACGTATTTTATAAAGATACTTCATATCTATGTGTTAGAAGAAAGTAACTACACACTCACTTGATCAAAAGATGACCAGACAACACTACGGCTTGTAGAAGTAGTATTCTTCGGTAGATCTGGAAGATCTTCACAAAAAACTGGACTCCTCACGGGCAGAGCTTCGGCTCGGAAACTCTTTTCTTCTTGGGATCTTCGGGCTTCAAGACTCGCTTTGGGTCTCAGGATGATACCGGGTCTTCGGGGGTACTTCTTTGCAACCAAACTTGGCTGACCCTTCAAATCTATTTATAGGGCAAAATTGGCCCTTACCACGTCGTGGGCTTGGTCATCACTGCATGCGTCATCTCAAGTTGCATCTGGGGGACTCCCAGAGTTGTCAGAAGACCTGCCACGTCGTGGTCTCTGACACAGCTTTGGGGTTCGCGCCCCGAACTTCAAAAATTCATAACTTTCGCATACGAACTCCATTTTCGACGTTCTTTATATTGACGCGAAGATGAGATTATGCTCTACAACTCTTGTTTAGACTCCATTGGCTAATTTTGACTTTATTATTAATATATTATAAGTATATTATTTGTATTTTATCTTTAGTAGGCCGGGACAGGAAAACTCCGTTCGAAATTCATAACTCCTTCATCTGAACTCCGTTTTCGTCTGTCTTTTTATCGCTGGAATACTATCGAAGAAATATTCGACTCTCGTTTAGATCACTAAGGATAGATATCTATCTACCTTAAATTCACTATTTACGTCGCGTTGGGTCATGCCGGTTCTGTCGCGAAACTTCGACAAGTCATAACTTCTTCGTTATAACTTGAATTTTGGCGTTCTTTATATGCACGGAAACCTTGTGACATATACTACAACTTGGTTAATATTAATACTTATAAATAATCTTCCATCAAAAATTCATTTTTGATGCTTATCGTCTCTAATTTGACTAGTCCGGATCTACGGGCGTTACAATATATCAAATCCTTGTGTAGGACATAATGATTCGAGTCCCATATGCTTCAGATATAGGATCGATCATATATGATATAATGTTCGCTTATTATAATTTTTTAAATGCCTTTAGTATTGTGTGGAAATGATTACAGTTTCATATGACTAAATTTGTTAAACTACCGTCAAACATTTTTAGGTTTGCTGAGGACTGGTTGTTTGTGGACAGTTGAGAGTATGATATTGTTAGAATGTACCATGGTGGCATGTTCTGTATTGATATGATTCTTGGTCAGAATTGATTGTCATATGAAAATATAGAAATGTTTCCATTATGGGAGATGCTTATATAATCTACATGTCAATTGGAACCTTTAATGCAATAGAAGTATTAAAGAAGTGTATCTTGAATTTGAGACTCCGTTACCATGGAATTGTTATGAATAACAAGTTCTAATGGAACATTCTATAATATTGTAGGTTCGGTCTCTGTCACTTTAGAGCCTCGACATCACAAAAGACAATTCATGTAAAAATGAAATTCCACTAAATCTTAGATAATGATAAAAATTTGGAATTGTGAAATGTGCATCATTGGAATAAATTTCAGTGGATCTGTTCACAAAGGAAGGACCATAGAGAGGTATAGTATGCATGTTCATAACATAGGCTTGACTGATGTTATCTAATCAAAGTGGTTAGTTGATTACTCAAAACAATATACAATGAATAAATTTGTAATTGCTATGATGATTAAATAATAGAAATTGTTTATATTCAGTAAGTTTGAAACCATAGTTAATTAATTTATTATTGAGTTTCACTTTGTGTGTTTACTTCCCTAAGTAATTTTAATATTATTCAGAATTCCACAGTCGCTCATACTTTTGGAAGTAAGTAGTGATTTAATATTGTCATGAGTTAATTGTAGATTGTCGATTGAGGTTAAGACATTGCAATTGGAATTGCTACAATATTTATGAGTAATTTTGAAAATAGAGATTTTAAGTATTGGATAAACTCACACTTAGAGTTTAATTTATGGATTTTATTACGAGTAATTCTAAGACGATAATATTTACTATTCTTAAGCGGAGATATATAGTTCATAGTTTATGAATCAGTTGTTCACTGGTTTACCTAAACACATCTTGTAACTGGGTGTTATAAAGAGTAATTTCATGCATGATTTGGTTAGTAAAATGTATGACTATATAGTCAAAGTAATTCGTTCATTTTCCCTTAACGGGAAAAGTGATATCTTTGGGCCTCTTGATGATTTGTTGCTGACATCTAAAGTGCTTGGCCGAGCCTTGAATAAATTGATGCAATCAATTAGTAGTTTGAATTCAGTCATCATAAATCGGGAAAATCGATAAACAAAATCTTGGACTATGAGATTGATTCAAATCCATGTCTCGTGTCCATACGATATATTGTAGAACGAATGAATAACTAATCATTTATCTTAGGGCCAACGTTTGATTTGAATTAGAGTTCGGTAATGGCTTTGGAAAACATACTTTGCTATTTAGTTTAAGGTTTATACTTGCAACTGTAGTTATAGTCTAATCTAAGTGAGAGACTATTTGATTAAGATCTCATAGCCAATAACTAAATTCATATATTCTTGTAGTTAGAAGCAAAATCCTTTTGGGTTTCCCTCATAACTAGAACTAAGTTAGAATGACATTTAGATAGAATATATATATATATATATATATATATATATATATATATATATATATATATATATATATATATATATATATATATATATCGAAAAACGTCATATATTCATTTTAAACGATTTTCAAAATTTCTTACACGTTCAAAAACTTCAAAATGCTTGATATTGGGAAAAGAAATTCGAAAATGTAACAAAAAAAAGTAAAAATAAGACTTTGTTGTTCGATAATGTTAGATTTCGAACAATATAATTATTCTACGCTTTTGAAAATTGTATGACTATTTTTTTTTTCTTATACATTGTTTTCGAACAATATGGTTAGAATCGGCATAAATTGAATTGGCCGGGTATTAAAAATTAATCTTAGCCTAAAATGGTATCGCGTCGGTGGATTCGGATAAAATAAGTAAAAAAAATCGTACCTGAATATTGGAATGGAATCAAATTTGGTAAATAATTATTGGGTTGGAATGAAATAACATGTTTTGAGTCTTTTGACTTAATTTTCTTATGCTTGCATATAATGAGACTATACCTAAATAACAACTTTCATTCAATATGAAATTATAGCATGAAAAGCCGAATTTTTTTAGCTTTGATATTCTGATTTTGAGGACCGTAATTAATATCGAACTAAAATAATGAAATCCGAAGTACAAACTATAAACTGTATGTTGGAAAAGATCCTGTATCAAACTAATTTCAAACGAATAAATATTGTAAATTTTAAAAGTTTCTCATATTACATATTACCTGTTTTTCCAAGTTTTTTGATTCTAGATTTAGGCTATGTTTGGCGAACTAGCTGAAAAGCTAGCTGTTAGCTGAAAAGCTAGCTGATGGCTGAAAAGCTAGCTGTTAAATAAAAAGCTAGCTGATAAAAAATAACGTTTGGTAAAACTAGCTGAAAAGCTAGCTAAAATATATAAAATTACATAAAAGCACATGTAAGAATATGTGTTTCTATAATTAATTAAGGGGTGTATTTGGAAAATTTTAAAAAAGCTCATAAAAAACTAGTCTAAGTAGCTTTTCAAAAAGCTAGCTTATAAGCTAGTTTATCAGCTACTTTTTGGCTTACCAAACACGACAACATAAAAAAGCTTGAAAAATAAACTAGCTTATCAGCTAGCTGTGACGCGTCAAACACAACCTTACTTTATCTGGTTCCACTGTACCCTATTTGACATTTTCTAGACCCACTTTACTCGGTCTCATACCCAGAACCGATTTCCGATTTCTATATGACAGTCCCGTTTCCGATTCTACTAAATCTTGTTTTCTGGTTTCGGGGTCCATTTGGATCGGATAGGGACCTCGTTTCACCCCTAATTGCTATACACAACCCATTTGGAAATGCTACATTATTTTTTCGAAGTTTTGATGTTCAAAAAACCAAAATCACGTGGCCCACGTCCAAATTCCTGAACGAAACAGATGATACACTTCCCTGTAGTATATAGAAGCCACCGTCAAACCATCTCTTGCACTTTTCAATGCGCTTCCCTTTATTCACGCTCCAGATTTCATACAATGCCCACGCCTTTCTTATACTAATCTCTTTCCCTTTTTTCAATCCCTTTTCTTTCGCTCTCTGAAAACCATATGCCATCTCCAAAATAATCGTACATAACACCTGAAACACCAAACGTAAACCATTTTCCAGTTCCCACTTACTCCCTTTTCCGGTTTTAGTTTCTTCAGATCTGGGACCTCAAACCCTTTCCCCTTCGCCCAAATTAAACAATCTTAGAACTGGGTTTCCTCCCTGCCTCTAAAGAACCAAAGATTTTAGTTTCTCTTACGTAATTCCTGGTGGGTTCTATGTCTGCTTCATTCAAATGATAAAACCCTAGTTCATTATGCGATTGGAGGTCACCTGTGAAGTGGGTGTTCAGTTCTCTAGTGTTTTTCATACGAAATTGAAGACCCAGATCAGATAAGAGTAGCGATTTGAAGTATACGGTTGAAAAATTTGTTGAAGATGATACAGTTATTGTTCTTTGTTGTATTTGCCGAGGCCTTTGTGGCGTTTCTTCTAATGGTGAAAATCGGACCACTTAGAGAACTGGTCATGAATGGGTTGGATCAAGTGAAAATGAGGAAGGGGACTGTTTTGACGATTGCTGGGACGATGTCTGTGATCTTGTTTTCAAATTGGATTAGTATTGTTAAAATCCAGAACAAAGGTGCTAAGATTGGTACAATGACACCCATGGATCAAGTTCTTTGGAGGACTCATTTGCTTGAGGCTTCACTCATGGGTACATTACTACTACTACTACCACTATTTTGTTTTAACTTTAAGTCTTCATTCATGTTTTCAAATGTTTGATTTTGTTTCTTATGGTCAAAATAATCAGATTTTGAGGGTAGTTGTCGTTATCTTTAACCTTTAATTTGTGTATATATGATTCCAAGTTTGATTATTCAAGTCACGTTTACCAGTTTCTTATGGTTGACTGTTTAGGGTTGTGGCTAAATCGATAGTTTAGATATAAATAATATTTCAATTGTGCAAGTGTTCTGGTTTGTATATTTCACTGATTTCAAAACTGGGTATATGGTAAGACATTGTACCTTCAGTCTTTTTCTCATTAAGGCATTGTTGTATGTTGCAAAATCTATCCAATTATATTTAGTTATTTACTATTTAACCCTAGTCATATATGAAGATTCATAGTTGTCAAACTTGTATACTTTGACCTTGCAGGATTCTCTTTGTATCTTGGCTTCTTAATTGATCGAATGCATCATCATCTTCAAAAATTAATCAATCTGAGAAAAAACGGTGGTTCATCAAAAAAAGAAGTGGAAAAGCTGGAGGCAGAAAAGTTGCAGCTAAAAGAAAACGAAGAGAAAGCAAAAGAAGAAATCAATCGGATGCAAAAAGAGATTTCCAATCTATCAGAAAGCTTAAAGAAGCTTAAGCTGGAGTCGAAAGAAAAAGATAAGAAGATTGAAGTTGCAGAAGCTCATGTCACTTCCCTTCAGAAACAATCTGCTGATTTGCTTCTTGAATATGATCGTCTTCTTGAAGACAATCAAAATCTTCAAGCCCAAACCAAAAACCGACAATTTAGGGGTTAGATTTATATGCTCCCCCAGATTGTGTGGTGACCATTGTTGTTGACTTTTTCGTGTTTTACGATCTCATGAGTCATTTTTTGGAAACATGGAAATTGTAATCTTGTTGTACACATGTTACCGATGTTGAATTGTTTTGCATTTGATTTGGATTTGATTTTTGGTATCTTGAGAAAAAGTTAGAATTTATTTGTACTGGTTTGATTGATGGAAGTTTTGGAGTTATGATTTATTATTTTTTGAACAGGGCATCACAAAGATTGAAGTCTGAGATTTCTGATTATCTGCTAGGGTTAGTTCCACATCTCCACGGATTAGTTCCATATGGTATATCTTTCTATTTACTTATTCTCATTATAGTACATTTGTCAAAAATAAAAGGAGGTAAATCATTCGATAGAGAGACTGCCAAATTGTTTACATTAGGGTTACATGAATTTCTTAAGGAATTTATTTATAAAAGCAAATTGACTTAAATTTTGCCAAAAAGGCCAAACCCAAAAACCAAGACGAATCTAGTCATGGCTTATTTGTAAAAATTTTGGACCCCTTTAAAAGATGAGTTCTGGACGTTCGTCTCTATCACCCACCCTTTGGAACAGGATGTCATTGTCTCAGGGCCTTTGTGTGTACTCTGATGCAGACTATGGGACATTCTACGTCAAGCTACTGTGTCTTTTTAGGGAGCAACCTTCTTTCCAGGTCATCCAGACTACCATCTCCAGATCCTGCGTAGAAGCCAAGTATCGTGGAGTAGCAAATACATAAGTTAAAAGGTCTAGGCTGCAAAACCTTGTACATGAGCTACACTTTTCTATTAGAAAGGCAATTGTTGTTTACTATGACAATTTAAGTGCAGTTTATCTCTCTACTATTCAACACCAAACTGATATTCATTTTGTTCAACACCAACGTAAGTGCAGTTTATCTCTCTACTGATATTCATTTTGTTTACTATGACAATTTAAGTGCAGTTTATCTCTCTACTAATCTGGTTCAACACCAACATACGAAACACATCCAAACTGATATTCATTTTGTTCAAGACAGAGTCCATATGGGTCATGTACGCGTTATACATGTCGTGTCTACATCTCACTACACAAATATCTTCACAAAAGGACTACCATCCTCTATTTTATGACTTTATATTCGGTCTTAATGTCCAGCCAACTACCCACATTTCGAATGCATGAGGATGCTAATTAATTTGTATGTTTGTTTGATTTGTGTACTACCTTATCGGATTTGGCCTATCTGTATGTTTCAATAATCGAATTGTATTATTTGTATGTATACATGATTAATGAGAGAGCATTTTCCCCAGACAATCATAATAAACCACGCTTAACCAAGAAGGAATAAATTCAAGTAAAAGCTAACCCATGCAAAGGAATAAATTCACCAACAGAATTATAAAGATCGACAAATTTCATGTCTATATCATTTTGTTTTATCCTTCCTTAATAAACTGATGTTAACTGTCAATAACACCGTTTGTAACGCTTTATGCAACTATGGGTGTATATATTGAATTTCTCAGCAAATTTGGTTATTTTTTACAATGAATATTCATAAAAATGACTATTGGTTATTGTGATTTAAGTAACCGATCCAATTTCTTTGCATTTCCTTAGTTGACCACCAAATCCAATAACAAGCCTTATTGAGTTTGTTTTTGTTTCCACCAAACACTTCAATTCTCCTTCCCCTCTTGTATCCAAAGTATTTACTATTTTAATTGGAAGCTATTTTGATATTGATAAGATTTATTTGTTAGATTTCAGTAAAAAATCAGATTAAAAAATATTGGTTTCTGATTTTATACATGTTTTAAAATTTTGGATTCCACTGAACTATTATTACTATTAATATTATTTTGCTCATCCTCCCTAATAAATCAAAATCTTTTTGCCACATGTCATATTCTTCTTAATTTGGACACATGATATTTTCTAAAAATTTTGAATTTTCTATTTTCTACTTATCATTTTATTGTATTTTCCATTTTATTAAATTAAAATTCCATATTTAATATGTAGGGTAATATATATTTAAGGTATTCATTAGAAAATGTTTATATATATATATATATATATATATATATATATATATATATATATATATATATATATATATATATATATATATATATATATATATATATATAATGTATTCAATGTATTAAAGCCTCATTAATCTTAATAATTCATTTTTTTTTTAATTTTTCTTATAAATTCAAACTTCTCAAATTGTAAAAATTTAATATATAATTTTTTTAAAATAAACCCATGTAATACATGAGTCTCACACCTAGTGTCAAATAAAAAAAGTTTGTAATTAATTTGGTCCGAATTACAATTTTTTGGAAATGATGGTCATTTTCCGTAATTCTCCATACAGTCCGTTCCAAACAACATTTTTAATCCTTGGTTTCGAGTTTCTTGCCTAAAATAGAAGCCACCTTTTCAAACAACATTTTTAATCCTTGGTTTCGAGTTTCTTGCTTAAAATAGAAGCCACCTTTTCAAACAACATTTTTAATCCTTGGTTTCGAGTTTCTTGCTTAAAATAGAAGCCACCTTTTCAATCAGGATCATAACTTTAACACCCAAGCAATTGAGGATCAATATATCAACTAAGGCCACTGTCTAACACAAGACATGATCAGATTCAAAAATACTGTTTTTCTGATTTTATACATGTTTTAAAATTTTGGACTCCGCTTAATTATTATTACTATTAATTATTATTTTGCTCATGTCAAATAAAGGAAGTTTGTAATTAATTTGGTTCGAAATACAATTTTTTGGAAATGATGGTCATTTTCCTTAATTCTCCATACAGTCCGTTCCAAACAACATTTTCACAAATTTAGTCCTTGGTTTCGAGTTTCTTGCCTAAAATAGAAGCCGCCTTTTCAATCAAGTTCATGACATTAACACCGAAGCAATTGAGAATCAATATATTAACCAAGGCCACTGTCTAACACAAGACACGATTAGATCATACACTAGTGAACCCCAACAAATGACTTATAAGGATAACTATTTTTCAAAATTATTCAAAAACATAATCTAAGTTTAACACCATCAAAGTAAGGTCTTTGTATAAAAAACACAAACGAACTATGTACTTCGTTCAAATGTCGCCTTATGGTAACCAACATCTACCGGTAAAAATTAAATAGGAAAAAAACAAAGGTAACTATTTCGAAATCGTTCAGAACATACCATCCAAGTTTGTTATATTCACAAAACATCATCTAAGTAAAGTTTTTGTACAAAAAATATCAACAAACTATATATTTTGTTCAAATGTTACTTACTCGATCGGGTTCTTACAATTTAAAGGATGATTTTGCCTAATTATTATGACATGACATAATATTAGTTACATGACATTAATTGATATATTCATCATTTATAAATCGATCTAGGACTTATTCATGAACGAATGACTTCTTATTCTCCTTTGATTGCCTCTTCTTCTACTAATCAAATATCTCTAACTTAAGCTCATACATTTCAAAGACACATAAGATATTTGATGATATAAACCCTTGTGACTGTCGACATCCTTTTCGAATTGGCATAAAGTTTGGGGTTTGTCCCAACTGAATGATAACTTTAACCAAAAGCTTTATTATGTCATTCTCCCATATATTTGCTTGGTTATGTGATTCATTTTTTTTGGATATATGTGTAAGCTTTTGCTATAGGTAGTATAGGCAATATATATATATATATATATATATATATATATATATATATATATATATATATATATATATATATATATATATATATGCTAATTTGTAACATCACAACAATGTCTTGATGAATATTTATGTCAATTTGAGGTGTGGTTAAATCTACTTTTTGTTAGCATGATGCTTAGCTACAAGGTTATGACTAAACTGGAACAGATTTTCAAACTATTATGCATCTTTCATTTTTCACAAATTCCATTCCTTGAGTTATGTATGGAGTATGGACATTTACCCCCTAGTTTTCACAAATTCCAATCATTTGTTCGTGAATAAGCGACAAATTGATTTTTAAAGGAGGAATGTATCAACTAATGGCATGCCACTAATGATTATTCCATATCACCAATAATTATGACAAGACATCCTTTAACCTACAAGAACCGGTCACCGGTGAGTATCTTCTAAACAAAACATATAGTTTGGTGGTGTTTTTTTGTACAAAGATCAATGTTGGATGGTGTTTCTTGAACGATTTTGAAACATGATTACCCTTATAAGTCATTTTCCCATAACAATACTTTGGACATGAGCTAAAAGTAAAATAATCATATAATCATAAACAAAACAAAACAATATGGTTCTAACATTTCTAATTTCCATAACACCTAAGTTCAAAATAATAGTATACAAACCAAGCCGTGTGCATTAATTACCTAATTTCTCAATGTCATCCAGAATAATATTGCCATCCAAAAGCAATAGCAGCTATCAATACAATTTTCAGAATTACCTTTGAACTTATAAACTTTGAAGAAGAAGAAGAAGATGATGAAGACGACGGTGGGTCCCAAGGCTTCCCTCTCAACTTAGCTGACAATTTGGAGAACAACAACTGAAGCTTGCCACTCTTCTTATCTGAACATCATCCATAATCAACTTCTTTAAGTACAATGTCTTAATAAGAAGAACAAATAAAATTGAAAGTAGGAGCTGGATTATAACCATATTTGTGTTCTATTATCCACCAACACCATTTTGTTGTAAGAAATGGCTTTGGGTTGGAGTAATTTACACCAAATTTGGTGTAAAATGGGATTTAGAGTATTATAAGTTCCATAATGAAAAAGTTTTACCTTTTTCTTTCAAAAGCCTTTCTTCCTCACCAACACGTCTTCTAAGTGCATTCATCAGTGACCCAAAATACAAAGCAAAAACAGTGCATGTAATTGTGATTACATTATAAGGCATGCTAAAATCAGGGGTAGTCAAAGGAACAAGAAGCACTTCTGTGTAAGATAATATTTTTCTTTTTTCCTGCAATACAAAACAGACCAAATTATAGCAACCTACTTTTATTCATTTATTCATTATAGCATTCTACTTTCATTTCTTCCAACCACAACATTGATTTTTGAAAAATCTATCCAATTATAGCAATCTTGAATCCTATAAATGGGTAGATTTCTCAAAGTACAATGCCTTAATAAGAAAAAAAAAAGTTGAAAGTACAATCTTGTAATGTAATAGAAAGAGATAGAAGTACACTGTTATC